TTAGATCAAGATAAGAGGGATTAAATGTAAATGTAACTTTTTAAAATTATGTAGTGGTTTAATTTTTGATATTTGATATGAGAAGTGAAGTTTAATATGGGAGGTTTTGATGTAGGAAAAACCTGTTAAACTGGTTTAAAATTACTTCTTAAACTCTTGAACTTTTAGGAATCATTTAAATTTATGTTTATGTAATCTTTTGAAAAATATGAGAAATCCTTATTTGAACAGGATAAAGCGGTTTAACCTACTTCTTAAACCTTGGATCTTTGGAAGCCGTTTGGATATGTATTCTGGTGAAAAGTAGGGTGATTTCTTTAAAAAGGTCAAATGTATTCTTAAACCGGTTTGATTAAAGTACCCCTTAAACCCTTTGGTATAAACCATTTGGTTAAAGCGTCCTTTTGTTTGACTTTAGTTTTGTTAACAATATGGGGTGCTTGTGCTTGTTGTTAACAAGATAGTGCTTAACTACTATTTTTTGGAAATTTTATGAATTCAACATTTATTTTCCTTTCTAAAAATAATTTTGCTATATAATTTTTGCATGACAGATTTTTGACCTATTTCAGCAATAATTTTTGCAAAAATTATTGCATGGCTGATTTTTATTTATTTTTACTTTTCAACGACTAAGGGTAAAAATAAAATACAAGATAGTTGTAAATTTTAGAAGAGTGTTCGAAAGGTGTTTTTTAGATGTTTCGTGATGAATATGGGGAATGGTTTGGTAAGGTGTTTTTTAATTGTTTTTTATTTTAAAATATGTGAAATCCTTCTTTGAAACGGTTAAACCTTTAAAATTACTTTTTTAAACCCTTGTATCTTTAGTAACCTGTTAGTTATGTAATCTTATGAAAAATAAGAGAAAACGTGTATTGAACCGGTTAAACCGGTTTAAAACTACTTCTTAAACCTTTGAATTTTTGGGAATAATTTGGTTATATAATCATATAAATAAGGAAGGGACGCATATCTTTAGAAAAAGTTCAAAATTTACCTCTTAAACCGGTTTAAAACTACTTCTTAAACCTTTAGAAACTCTTTGAACCTTCAGACTCTTACGACTTAGCTGTTGTGTCTAAATGACCGTTTAATTAGTGGGAGGGGCTAAATGGATGGACCCCGCTGCCCCTGACGACTTGGAGGGGTGGTTAACTACTGAAGGAATTGGTGGAACTAGTGTATCTGACACGATAAAAGTAAATAAGCCTTTAAAAAATTTTTTCTTATGAAATACAGGCAGGCAAGGGTTGACAGATTCGGATCCAATTAAGTATATATATCGAGGAGTCTCTCAGAACTTCAATATTCGGAACCGAACGGAGAGATTTTCCTAAGCGATAAATCTATTTAGTCTTAGGGGGAGGGGGGGTGGGGGTCTTTTTGGGGGCAGGCAAGGGTTGGCTCTTCTTGGGGACCAGTCTTTTGTTTCGAGTTTCTCTTCCCAACCTAAATTCTTTTGAAAATGCCTATAGATCGAGTTCTGAATTAAAAATTATTTTTTCAGATTGGCGACGTTTCTTTCCCCAATGTGCCTTTAATTGAAGCCAAATCAGGCATTCCAAAAATGGACAAATCTTTTTCTGGTTCTTTTGGGTTGTCTCCAGAAAATAATGAGCATTTAACTTCAATACTAAGTCAACTTGACAAACAAATAGTTACAATGAAAATAGCGGGGTTAATGTTTTATAAATGGCAATATACTGTAGATAGGGGGTTTTATTGAAGACAGCCTATATTTTAGGGGTACCAATTAGGCGCGGCCAAGTAGGCGCAAAGCCATAACTTGCTTCAAAATTTACGAATCTGTCAAAATTTAGTATTAAACGATTCCTCTCATCGAGCTAAAGAGATTGATAGAACTTTTCCATCTAGTTATGGCTTTGCGCCTACTAGGCCGAGCGCCTACTTGAGCATGCGCATACTTGGGCATGTCCCTATTATTAGAATATTTTTTGATATCCTTCTTTTTGTAACCTAAATAATTTTTTTTGAATATGCCTGTAAAAAAGTCCGCAAAAATTTTCAAAAGAAATTAATCCGCAAAGGAAATCCGCAAAAAATAGTCCGCAAAACTATGTAGTCCGCAAAAATAGTCCGCAAAAATCCGCAGTTCAAAATCTACAGTAATGCCTTAAAATAGATAAATAAATGTCTCAACTATTTATGTTTAAAGAGGTATTTCTGGAGGTGGTGGTATAATTTCAGCTGGAATTGGTTCATTAACTCTTGGTGGAGAAGATTCGGATTGTAAAAATTATAAATATGTAAAAGCTTCTTGTGGTTGGTCTGCAGGCTTGCAGTCTGTAAAAATTGGAACCTCAAATATAATGTAAATTTAAAAATTAATTCTTAAAAGTTGGGTAAACTACCCTAATGCTCTAATAATTGCCCTGGGTGTGGCTCGTGCTGGAGCTAGAGGAGGTCTAGTTGTTAGAGGGTAATTATTTTTTCAGCCCCTTCCAGAGGGTAATTAATAGAGCCTATACAGTAACTAAAGTAATTTAACTAAACCCCACATCTAAATGTATAACTGCCCCATTTTCTAATCCCATTATACCTCACTTTAAGATACGTTTATATAAGTTGGCAGACCATTAAGTCGGGATCGGGATTTTGGAATATGATGCCGACTGCGGGATTGGGATTGGCCAATACCGGGATCGGGAATTGCCTTTCGGTCTCGGGATCAGAAAAATCGGGATCGGGATTCAAAGAAACCGGGATAATCCCGCCCGATCCCGCCCAACTCTAATTATAAGGCACGAGTTTCATCCCCAAGGTTGTAACTTATAATGAGGTAGGTACTAATACCAAGGGCTGACTCTAATAATAATTTGATAATTAAGAGTTGGATCACTTGATAATCTCCCAAAGATAAAAATGAGTGATTCTCTTCCAAATATGTATGGACCTAAAGGACAGATTGATGCTTTAGCAAACGGATTGGGTGTACCAATACCTTCAAACCCTAAACACCGTTACGTTTTCCCTTGTAAGAAGAATATGCCTGATATTACATTAACTGTAGGCATGATAGGTGGTGATACTGCAAATGTTATCTTAAAGCCAGACCAGTATATTGAAAAAACATTCAATGATACTGGAGAGGTATGTCTCTTTTTATGTTTAAATTAGAAAGTTTCTGTTATGTATTAGATTCCGAAGTTTTAGTAGTGAAAAGAATATTAATATAAGACAGTAACACCCTTATTCAAGACAAACAATTAACCCCTTAATAACAAGACTGACACTTAAGTGCTTGCATCAAGTTTTGAAAAATTGCACCAAAATTCGTACTAGTACCGGTGTACAAAGTAATAAAAAAGGTACGAATATAAGACGGGGAAATATAGGCCTGTTAGAATACGGGAGAAATATTATAGAATAGGCCAAGCAGAAAAATTTTTGAAAATGAGGGAAATATAAGCAAATAAGTTTCTCTCAGATTTAATATGAGAGATACTTCTGTCGTTGAGTTATACAGAACTGGGAAACCCGGTAGAACTGAGAAAGAACTGAGATATCATTTCAATGATGTAGAGAGTATGGATTAAGAAAAATAACGTGGATTTGTAAGGAAGAGGGATACTTGGTAAAACCTCTTGTATGAGAGGTGACAATGGCCATGGCTATGCAGTAGGCGGCTTGGTGTAATGGCTAACACATCAGTCCGGTCTACTGAAGATGCTGGTTCGCTCCAGCCGCCGAATAACCTTTTACAGTAGGTAAAGGAAGGAAATAGATGAAGTAGATTTTAAACTTTTCTAATCATAATTTCTTAAACTTTTTCCGATTTTTAGCAAGTTAAAACCACGTGCCAATTGTATTTTATGCCTAATGAAGCATTGTCTAAGTCAAACAATAAGGATTGGACTATGGGACAAGCGTTTATGTTTAATCGTTGTATTTCGGTTAATCTGAAAGATGAAACGATTGGATTTGCTGACAAAAATTAAATTATAAAATGGGGGAATTAAAGTTAAAGATACTATTAATGGGACAATAAATTAATTAAATTAATTAATATTAAGTAAATTGGCGGTACGACAATTGCGGATATGCACGTGCGGATGCGACGATTGCGTATATAAAAATTTTTAAAAAGTTTAAGATTTTTTAACTTTTCAGTGCCACATCTGTCTAAAAATGATTCGGAAACCGTCAGAAGTCTGAAGCTGACAGCCAGGATAAAAAAACGGAATATCATTTCAATCATTTTGAAAATTTTTTAAAAATTTTTAATCCGCAATTGTCGCATCCGCACGTGCGTATCCGCAATTGTCGTAACACCAAGTAAATTATAAAGTCAAAAATATAATTTAAGAATTTTAACAATTTTTTTACTAAATTTAAATGAATTTTTATCTACAAAATATTTAAAATAAACTACTATGCAATAAAAATTGTTTATGAATAAAATATATTCGAGTATGGTAGCACCCCGAAACCCCGAAACATGAACCTTGACATGCCCCCCTCCATGACAAACCCCGATCTCCTACACTCCCGACCTCGAAGTTTCGAGTGCTACCCTTGTTTAAGGAATCGTAGGCGATTGGGCCAATTGTGTATGTACAGGTTTTGTGTTGTAAAAACAAAAGAAATCTGACTTGCTTGGACAAATTAAGGCCATTTGTATCAAGCAAAAAAGCTCAAAATGGTCAGTGTAACGGGAAAGGGCGGGCGTCAACTAAAGTACCAAAAACCAGTCAAGGTTCTGCCCTGTGCAACACATTACCTCTGATCCAGGACCCTTTAGACATCGGACAATTAAATATATACATTTCTACCTCTCTATAAGATACACCTATTATTAGATACCCTCGATTTGAGATACATTTATATAAAGATGCCTTCTATTTAGAATACTCCTCTCTATAATATTCATTTTTTCAGCAGGTTGTATCTTATAACGAGGCCGGGTGTCTATTTAATTTAAAAAAATATAAAGAATCTTAGAATAATCGAAATTCTCAGCATCCAAAGCTTCATAAATACACCTCCATTCTTTCAGATAAAATTTTTTTAGTTCTTTCCTCCATTCGTTTTATTGAACATAAGGTGACATAAACGCTTCTCATCAACATTACAAGTTGCATTGGATTCTGCCAAGACTTCAGTTCCTCCATCCTTACCAATGGGACATAAAAGTTGGAATGGACCTTTCTTCAATTGCTTGTTAAATGCGTCAGAATGGACTCTATATGCTGCAGAGAATTTACAATTGTACAGTGGTGATCCAGTCGAGTTTGAGCTTGTGTCTACCACGCAATTTGGAAGAGAATAAATACCAAGATCGGGATCTAGAAAATATAATATATTAAATTATCTAGTTAGGCATAGACCAAGTAGAAAGAACGAGAAATTGACAGCGCTGGTGATAACAACAGCAACTTTCGCCTACAGATTAGGGTTGTACTACGTCCCGAAAGTCAGGGAATTTGAGACTTTTTTTGAAAATGTGCCGTAATAAATTGTTCCCCCCCCCTTCCCCGTCATGAAGGGAAAGATTTTTCCCCATCCCTCCCCCGTGGCGCTGACTCCCTCCCGAAAATCCCCCCCACGTCGGGGAACAACCTTATGGTCTTTCGCTTTGCAAGTGTTCATAAAGGTAATTTAGCCAGTGTGTTATCTATTTGTGGAGCAGTGTGGTCCAAGTGTAATTTTGTAACTTACAAAGTCGACATCCCATTTGAGTTCCAGGACTCATTGCTGTAAATGCAAGCATCATTGTCAAAACAACAGTCACAGTATGTTTTTTACAACAGCAACCACAATCATCATTACTGCTAGGAGTACTATCTCCAACATAATATCCACCATACGGGTAATATACAGGGTAATAGTATGGTCCGTATCTTCCATAATAAGGCGTCCCATAATATCCACGAGTTGCTCCTTTAGTGTTTCCATATCCAGGGCCTTCATATCCACCTCCATAGCCACCTTTTCCGCCATAGCCTCCCTTTCCACCACTAAATCCTCTACTACCACCGCCGCTTCCACCTCGTCCTCCACCGCCACTACCATGACCTCCACCACCACCACCGCCATGACCTCCGCCGCTAGTTATTTATTAAAATAAATTTTAAAAACAGTCAGATCTCGCTTGTGCGTAAGCCTGGGACCGTCATACAAATCAAATGAATAAATGAGAGGAAATCCGAAAGAGATTATACACAAGCGAGATAACCGTATACTAAAAATATTTACCCTCCTCCTCCTTTCAGACTTCTCCCTCGAATTTTTCTGTTAGTTTCCAGACGTTTATTACCATCGTTTAGCTGGTTTACCTCATCTGTTAAAATTAATTTTATACAAACTATAAATTTTATTTAAAATCGGACGCTCATTCGAAGGAGCTCTCTAAGATGAGTCTAAAGGTGCCAAATACCTGTGGTCTCAACTACGGCTGAGAAAACCGATCATACAAATAATAGCTCATTAGGAAGAGCTAGTGTATTAAGTGCATGTTATGCTCAGCTCAGACTTTATATGTCTGCCAGTGATCCGATTTCTTTTTTTGGGGGATCCGTCTACTTTTTTGAGGATCTTGGATTATGAATTCCTGTCTACAGCGATCCCAAATCCCCGATTTTCATTAATCGTGAATCCATGAGTCAAAAATCGTCGGGAATTCACGATTTTCGGGAATCGTCCCTGATGTCTACCTTCTTCCTCCTCACAAATTTCATTACAGTCTTCACCCTCCTCTTCCAACAAAATTTCTTTCCCTTTGCTTTTCCTCTCATTTTCTTTTTCAAAAACTTTTTTCTCCTCTTCTTCATTTAATTCAGATAATACAGAAAATTTGTTGTTTGGATCAGAAAATGTCTGCTTAATTTTTCTATTTTTATTTTTCTTTTTCTTCTTTTTTCCTCCTTCGGCAACAATTTTATTTTCATCCTTTTGTCCATAAATTGGCATCTCTTGTAATTTCAATTCTCCAGTGTTTTTATAAGATTCCGCAGAGATAGGAACTGATGCATGTGGAACAGATGCAAGAGTATTTGCCAATGGATTTATTGCCTCAACTTAAGAGTATTTGAAATTTAAAAGTAAGCCAAAGAAAGCATTGAGGAGGAAAGGGACGGGATTTAGAGTAGTCGCAAGCAGAGATACAAGATACTAAGATTCTGCTCTCGAAAGGACAAAATAAGTTTTGCTTTGCGGACCGCAGAGGACAATCATCTCTATTTTATGCACTCAGCAAGATCAAAACCAAACCCCCTCCACCTCCACCCACTTCCACCAAAAAAATAGTGTTTCACCGGAACCGAAATTTTGACCGGAACTGGATTCAATTTGAGTTTCCAATTTCCGGAACAGGAACTAAAAATAAACACTGGAACTTTCCAGAACCGGAACTTCCGTGGAACTCTACAAAAAAAACCCTTGAATTAACAAACTTGAGATTAACTAACCTATAAATAAGCTTAATATTGGCAAAAAAACAATGATGTTTTTGTTTTTATGCTTCATTTTTGAAGGCCAACAAAAAGTTTTCTTGTTTAAATTTTCCTTTGTTAACTTTCTGAAATCAAATAAAGCCGTTGGGCTATAGCTATTTCTCTCCTTTAGCTAGTGCAAGGGTTATTTGGCTGCTGGAGCGAACCAGCATCTTCAGTAGACCGGACTGATGTGTTATCACGCCGCCTACAGCACAGCCTTAGGAAATAAATAGCTATATGCTTTACAATAATAATAGGCCCCCGAATTTTAACTATTCACCCAACAATTTAAATTTTGAAATTAAAAAGAATTTTAATGAAGAGAATAATTAATTCAACTATTTGACTATCACTTAAATAAAGACCCTAAGCAGGCGTGTAGTCTCGCTCTATAGTCTCTCTTCCCGCTCTAAAATCGCTCTCTATTGTTGATTCCCTTATTATGATAGCTTTCATAAAGATAGCTTTGCGTCATGCGACAGAGAATAACATTCAAACGAGGAGAAAATCACGTGCGACCTTTTCTCTCCCCTTTCTCATCACCGCATATGTCGCAAGACACAAGACGCACATATTTAAAAGCCGACACATAAAAGCACTTTATATAAAGTGCAGATAAAATTAAGAAATGCCTATTGAGAATAGCTAATTAAAGGGCATCCAATTAAAGGGCATCCAATTAAAGGGCACTTCAAAGAGAAAAATTACTCAATAATTTTGAAATATTTTGTCATAAGGGCCTGTTTACCTTACTAAAAGTGCTGTTACGAAATGATGACTTAAAGGAGGAATTCTGGCTTCTTGGCCATCTGAAATTCAAAAAACATTGGACTTTTCTTGGATATTTCGTATGAAGCCTTGACTAGTAACCGGCGCGGGACGGGATCCCGCGCGGGATTTTACGGGATACCGCTCCCGCAATCCCGCACTTTTTTCGATTTGCGGGATTTTGCGGGAGTGCGGGATTATTCCCACGGGAGTTACTCACGCAGACAATTTTAAAAGTTACTCCCGCATGCGGGATCCCGCAAATACGATTTTGCCGGTCATTAGTCTTGACTGTTCTTTGCATTTTTCTAAAATAAGAATTTTAATTGAAAGTACCTTTAAAATTTGAATTTCTTAAATTACGGGAACTCTTACGGTACAAGTTTGTGCTTGCGCGCTCTCTAACGGCCTCTCTTCTTTCCGCTCTCTAGTTTCAGCACTCTAGTGGCCGGTTGGGATTTTTCGAAATCCCTTAAATTTCCAAAATTTTTAGTAGAGATCGGCAAAATCGCATTGACGCGATCCCGTCGCGGGATTCTTTTTCAAAAATTTTTGCGGGACAGAATCCCGCGGGATTAATCCCGTAAATCCCGTCGTCGCTAAAATACGGGATTTCTGGACGGGACACGCCCAAGTAGACGCGCGGCCATAACGGCGCAGAGCCATAACTTACTAGAAAATTTCTGGCCCATATCAATTTTGGTATCAATCTCTTTAGCTCGATGAGAGGAATCGTTTAATACTAAATTTTGCTAAGATTCGGAAATCTTAAAGCAAGTTATGGCTTTGCGCCGTTATGGCGCGCGCCGTTTTGGGCTTGTCCCTTCAATCAGGTAAAATCCCTTCAAAAGTGCTCAAAACAGTTTTCATTCGCTTACTCTTTAATTTTCTTTTACTTTTTTAGCTTTTAAAAAATTCCAAAAATGGAACAAGCCCAAAGTTTGTTATTAAATGAGCTTGCATTTGTCAGATGTCCAGATCCACAAAAAAATATATTTATTTATGAATGGCTTAAATATTTGGACAGAATTTTAACACTTACTAAAAAGGTTTTTTTTTATTTTAATACCTAAAAATTGTGCCTTGGAGTCAATATGTTCACTGATAGTCCTTCAAACTTGGGCATAATAAGTTATTAACAAGGCCAGGTTTTCGCTTATCCAAACTTTTAAAAAGCAGGTTTTCGTTCTTCCTCCTTCCAAATTTTTTTCTTAAAAAGGTGCATAATGGTCAGACTTTTCCTTGTTTTTTGCCAAGTTATAAACCTTTGAAATTTGAATCCCAAGTGATTGTAAACATATTGCCTCCACTGTATTTTTAGTTTTTAACATTTTCTTCCAAAAATACGCATAATGGTCAGAACAGATTTTTAATTTTTATGATTCAACTTCCAACGTATTTTGGGTTTGTCCTGGTATTAGCTCCAAAATAGCATCAAAAAATTTATTTTTCGTCTAACTATGTTACACGGATTTGTGAGGATAAATGTGAATATCTAGGGATTAGTGGGAATTGTGTGGATATCTAGAAATCTGGGGAGATTCGAGAGGGGCGGGCGAATTAGGACTATTTTTGGTTGATCCATTCTGATCCAATCCAATTTCCAATCCAATTGATCCAATTAAATCTGAGATAAAAATTTAAATCGATTTTGTCAATTTTTTATTTTTTCAGTCAGATTTAAAAAATAGTCAACAAAAACTAGTCGAACAATTAAATGCCAGAATTGTCCCAAATGGTTGTTCTCATCCAACTCGTTTGCTTTTAGGCCGTTGTATTGCAAAACTTTTTTCTGTTGCCGATGCTTCCCATCTTTTTGAAACGATTAATTTGTGCAATGATGCGTTAAAAGACCCTTCAGTTTTATTGCAGGTTAAATTGTAAGTTAATTTGTTTTTGGGTACTTGTGGAGATTTAGGATGGGACGCAGGGCCATAGACAGGATATTTTTTTCGGGCGGGGGCAAGGAGGGAGAATTTTTCTGCGGAGATTTTTTGATGCCACGGGCGAAGATTTTGAGAAATTTGGAAGGCCTTAATTTTTCCCCTTTTCACCGCCATTTCTTTATGCTCTCAAGTTCTGCCCAACCCTCTGGCTATGGTTCTGATGGGATGATGACCTTGATCCTAAACACTGACTTATTTCGGCCCAAGACTCCGATTCTAGGGATATTTTGAAAATCGATTCGAACCCCGACCCTTTTTTTAACCTCGGTTTACCTCTTCTCTTTTTTTGGCTATTCTAGTTTTAATCCCTCTTCTATCCCAAATAGATAATTTCGCTGTCAGTTTCCTCAAATCCTCAAAAAGTCCGCAAAAAGAGTCAGCAAAACCCCTCTTGTTGTTAGTCCACCACAAATTTCTATTCTTCTTATTTTCACTAAAAAAATATTTTAGGACAGCACTTTCCGTACTCGGTGAAATGTTTGAATACTTGGGCAGAATGGTTGGTCGAAGTTATGAAGAAACTTTTCAATCATTATCAAAATGGCTTAAAAGCGCTGAGGTTTTTTTTGGAATTTTTTTAAATTGAAAATTTTTTTTAATTTTTAAGTCAAATGCCCGCATTGAAATTTTGAAAACTATGGCCAAAATGCTTCATGGTCTAGGCTCTGGAACCTTTCCAATTTTTAAAGATATTTACAAATGTTTGGCCAAAGCTCTATTTGATAGGGTAATGGCTGTGAGGGTGGCTGCTGCAAATGTAAATATTTTTTCTTTTTTTTTTTTTGTTTTTTTTTACTTGGGGCTGGTCTTATGGGGTCACTAGAATAGGTGTTCACACAAATTTATCACAAATATTTTCAGGATTTTCCTTTCTGATTTTCATTTCCTCGCAGGGTCTTTAACTTTATTGGGTATTTGTGGGCAGGCCCGTAGCCAGGGGGGTGAGGGGGGGGGGAATTCCCCCTCCCCCCCCCCCCCCCGAAATGGGAAAAAGGAAAAAATTTGGGGAAGGGCTGGGGCAAAAAAATTGAATTTTTTTGGCCTACGGCCTCTGAAATTTAAAAAATTTTTGCCTGCGGCGCTAAAAAAGGAAGAAATCTGGCTTCTTAAGATCCAAAATTCAAAAAATTTTCGCCTGCGGCGCTGAAAATCAAATTTTTGGCGCCTGCGGCGCCGAAAATTTGGCTCAGAAAAAATTTTCCCCCCTTGGCCCCCCCCCCGAAAAAAAATCCTGGCTACGGGCCTGCTTGTGGGTTATCCCTACTGACCTTTTGCGGACACCCTTTATTGTTCCCTGCTTACTTCTTTCCATTTTTCTCTTTTTGGTTTATAAGTCCAAAAGAGTTATAAATTTTATTCACCAAAATTATAAGGAGCCGGAAACCTAAAATACTTACAATAACAGACTTATTTTCTGGTTTCTTTGGAGCTAACATTTTGACGTTATTTATAAACAATTTTTTTTATCCTTTATTGATTTGATACACATAAAAATGGGAAAATCGGGGAGAAGAAAAACGACTTTTGACTTCTATTTTTGTCTTACGTACCAAGTAAGGGGTACGCGTTTAAATTTTGATGTGGGGTTAATGCAGATGACCTACACCCAGAAGACCTACACCCAAAAGACCTATTTACCCAACCTTCCTCCACAACCAAAAAATAATTTTTTTTGTATTTAAGTGTTTTGCATGTCTCGTCGAAATTCCTGATTCTCCTCTTTTTATCCAACACGATTTGGAATCAATTTGTACACTTTGTATTAAATCGTTGCACGTTTCTAATGCAGATTTGAGGCTTTCTATAGCTAATGTTTTTGCAAACCTTGCTTTCTGTGTTTTGAAATCGAATGATGGATCGGGTAGTTCACGTCAAAGAGCAGGTTTATTTATTTTATGATTCAAATTTTAGACATGGGACCCAGGCATTTTGATCAGTGACCTTTCGGTTTCACCCAGGGATCTCACGGATATCCCTTGTTTCGCAGTCGACCGCCTCCTCCTGCAAAACCCAAAACACTGACAATTTTTCGACCCGATATTTTTCTCTGACTCGTTACATTCCTGGTCTCGCCGTTCACCAAAATTCCAAAAATCTTGGTTATAAAAATTCGTGACGCCTTAGAGTTTCTACTAGCGTTGTCGGTTTTTGGGGACAGATATCTGGGACCGAACCGAAAAATCCTCGGTTTTCCAATGAAAATTTAATTATTTTTTAGTTACACCAACTTCAACCAAAACTCAGCCACAAAATTCTAGTCCCTCCAAATCTTCCACTTCTGCTCCTTTTGATGTTTTACTTCGTTGTTTATCTAATGGAATGTTGAGGGGAGGTGTTGGTGGATTTTTGAAGAATGCTAAAACAGCAACTGGAATTAGAGCAACAATTGGTCAACGAGAAACACGTATTGGGATTTCACAAGTTTGTTTTTTTCTTCTTTTAAAAATCTGGCGAAGACTTTCCTTGGGGACCTTTTTATCACTTTCTCCTATTATTGTCAGTTAGCCTTTCGCTAGTCAATGAGCATTTGGTAAAGAAGTCCTACTCATTTTGTAGTAGAATCATCCCAGTCTACCACAGAATTAGATCCTTGATCTGACTACGTAGTGGTTAGATCCAATTTTTAGGAGCCTATAATAAACCTTGCAGTAGACTTGGCAGGGCTAGACTAGGGTTTATTTTTTTAGGCTTCGTTCGAGAAATTGATTCTTTGGTATCTGTTCGAATGCAAAAAGGGAAAACTTAGGCAATAAAATATTGTAGATAAATAGGTGAAATATATCTTGGGAAATGTCCAAAAAAATTGCAAACCCTCGCAAAAAGTCTGCAATTTTTAATTTTAAAACTAATATCTTTTGGCAACCTTTTCACTTTTTTTCCTTTTCAGGCTTATGTTGCTATTGCCCGCAAATTGGGCACTCGTTGGCTAAAACGAAACATACAACTTTGGTGTGAACATTTATTGGGCTTGGCTTGTAAAAGTAGTTTAAGTATTGGATCTACAACTTCTTTACCTTCCTCTTCCCAATCATTTTCTTCAGTCAATGATCAACTTTTAACAATCCGTCGCTGTCTCCACTATATTTTTCGATCAACAATAGGCACTTTACTTTCAGAGTCAGATCAAATAACTGCTTGTAAACGTTTGGGAGTTGTTTTGGCTGAATATAACAATTGTTTCGGTATTTTTATAATTTTTAAAATTTGGTATGAAACAATAAGTCCTCACTTTTAGGTCCCCTAGAGCTGCCCAAAATCAAAAATTTTTTAAGATTCGAGGTCAAGACCAGGACCGAAAAAAAATCCTAAGAAATGTCTTAAGTCAAGACTCAAGACCAAGAGTCTTGGACAGCTCTAAAATCTCCCCATTCGATTTAGGTGTGAACATTTTTTAATCTGATTAGTTGCTGACATGGGCGGGGAAGTCGTTTGCCTACGTGATTACTCCCATTTAAATAGAGTTAAATACAGATAACCGTTTCCTTGAAAAGTACAGAGATTCGGTTTCGATCATGAATCCGGATATGTCTGTTGATTTTACTAGAGTCCTCAATCCTTATGATTTTTAAGTCCTAAACGGTGTCTTATATTGAGTCTGACCGAACATAAAACTTTTAAATTAATTTTTTTTTAAAAAGATTGCGCAATGGATTCAAGTAAAGAAGAGGAACGTGTTCTAACCTCTGAAGTTCATGCTAGTGCAAATGCCAGTGTTGTTTGTTTAATTGAAATTGGGTGTATAGGTTTGAGTTTTTAAAAAATTTTTTAAAAATATTTTTATTTTTTTATAGCACTCCAAGTTGATACGGCGATTAGTACAGTTTTTATTGAGGCGTCTGGTGTTTTGGAACCAATTTTTGCTTGTTTACTTCATCCTATTCAATCAGTTAGAATTGCTGCTTCGTTTTGTTTAAAGTTTGTTTTTTATGTTATTTGATTTTCCTTTTTCGATTTCATGACTCTCTCCAAAATTTATAGCGGACTTTTTTCGACCGAAATCCAAGCAAAAAAAATTTCGAAATCAAGGCGACTCATTTTTCTTGGCTGTCATAAGGTGTCAGAATCAGCCTTCGTAATGGATATGGGTTTTGGTATCCGTATAGTTACGGCGGATATCCGCAGGCATTTTGAAATTATCTGTATCCATATCCGTATTCATTACCAAAGTCTGGTCGGAGCAACTAACATAAGGCATCGATCTATACCCCCGTGGATCGATGCCTTAATTGTCTGGTTCCAACTACCTTTGGTTTTAAATTTCTAATAGATTCTTAAATCCAATTATATTTTAGATGCATTGTCACTTCAATTCCTTCATTAACTACACCACTCGTAGATCGCTGTTTAAGTCGGCTAGAATACATGAAAAAATCACCTGAAGCAATCAACGGATTCTCACTTTGTTTGGCAGCACTGCTTTCTCATTGTCGCCATTCTCAACTCGGAATTCCATTCGCCAAATGCCGTCAAGTTTTCAATTTAGCTGAAGAATTAATTAAATCTGCAACGCAAACCCCACGTTTAATGTTGAGAAAAGTGCAAGCTGGATGGATTTTGATTTCGGCAATTTTGTCATTGGGTATGATTTTTCAATCGAATTTTCTGTTTAAAAATTTTTTTATTAAAAAGGTCCAACATTTGCTCGGCCTATTTTACCCAAACTTTTTACACTTTGGCGCATTTCTTTTCCTCGTTCTGCTGAAGAAACCAAAACTGAACGTGGATGTGGAGATGCTGGAAGTTGGGAGGCTACTTTGGAGGCTAGAGCGGGTGCTTTAGCTTCAATGGCTATTTTGGCTTTGCGTTGTCCTGAGTTAATCAATGATGAATTGGCGAAGAAGATTATTGTGCCTATTGAAACTTCGGTAAATATTTATTTTAAGTGGGCATTGTTCAAGCTGTTCTTCTACCCTGGCCAATACCAGAAATATAAACCGTTTAATTAATTTTGAGAAAATAGGGCATATTTATTTTTTGGTACGGGATGGGTCCCCTATGCATTGCTTACATAAAAAGCGTCGTGCGTTCTGCGGCGATAAATAGCATTAGAAATGAAGAGATTATGTATGGGTAAATAATTTGTATGGGTAAATAACTGCAATTTAAACTACTGGTACGGGCCCCAATGGCCAGCCATTAGTTTCTATTATTGAGAGTATTTTAATAAGAGAGGCCTCTGTATCAGGGTTCTAGCTGACATCAAAATGAAATTCCCCTTTCGAAAACAGGAATTCCCGACCCAAAACCGTCGAGAAATTTGATTTTCGGTAATCATGTCGGCTAGACCTCTGCTCTGTATTCTTATTCGTAAAAAATTTTATTTTTCCAGTTAAGTACAATGTCAATGGTTGGAGATTTATTACTCCTTTATGGCGTTCGTATTCGTTCAGTTATACAACTTTTACATTTACGTCTATTCACATTATTATGCCGTATTCCAGTCTCTCGATTTGAATCTGCAATTAATCCATTATTAAAAGAAGTTGTGGCAGAAATTACTTTGTCTGATAATTCCCAAACAACACAAAAAAATTCTTTATGTGCTAGACAATCATTTTTAAGTAGTATTGGAGGAGGATTTGGACGTGGAGTAGAACAAGAAGTTTATTTAGAAAATGAGGTTTTTTAAAAATATTTTTTGGTTCTTTGGTTCTCTTTTTTTATTTAATTTGTTTTTCGGGGTTTTGGGGTTACTTTTGGATTTTTGGGGTTACTTTTGGATTTTCCAACATCGGTTGTTTTTCGTTTTACGATGTCTTGGTCTGTGATCATCCTCAGCCGTTTAAACTTTTTTTTTCTGTTCAATGGGTTCATTTGAATTTTACACAAATTGACTTTATGACAAAAATAGTAGCAATAATCCAACGAATGGTTCAGGCCCTGTTTCCCTGGAATTTTTAGACAAATTGGAGGAGGATCCCTAGATCTGGACCCAAAGAATTCAAAAAAAAAGAAAAATCCAAACCCAAAAAATCAAAATTCAAAAAATCTGGACCCAAAACCCACACCAAAGAACCGAACCTAGAACCAAATCCGATCCCGGACCCAAACAATGTTCCAAAATATCTAACTGAAGTACTCATTAATTCGCGAAAAATTGAATGAGACCGAACTACCCACTCAAAAATTTTACTTAACTATATTTTTTAGTTGAATCCTCTACAACCTCTTCAACCAGGATCTTTGGATTTTGATCCTCTTCATTTGATAGAATATGATGGTGGTTATAGAAACGGAAGTACTAAAGAATGGTTTGGATTTTGAAATTTTTTTTGTTTTTACGAATCTCGTCTTTTTTTAGGTGGTGGCCAGAACCTCAACTTTTACCAATTGCTGCTCTCGATTCTGCCATTCAATTATTTTCAAAAGTTTTCCCAGTAGTTTCCCCTCGCTGTAAACTTCAACTTCTTCAACATTTTGGTGAACAACTAAAAATTTGTCAAAAACCTTTAGCTAGAGCCCAAGCCCTCCAAATAAATATTTTAACATCTTTATGTTTGGCTGCCGAATTTATTGGTAAAAGAAGGCAAGGAGGTGGAAGATTAGATGATGCAGAATTACAAAAAGCTTGCGCTGATTTTGTGTTACCTTTTTTGGAATCTAATTCATTGCTAATTAAATTCTTGGCCGCAGAGACGTTGGGTAGACTTGCACAAGCTGTAGCAACACCACAGGTTTTAAAAAAATTTTAATTATTTAAAGTTCTTTCTCGGTTTCTTTCTCGGTTTAAAGTTCTTTCTCGGTTCCAAATAGTCGAACGGTTCATTTTATTAGTTTTCGGGTCCATTGTAATTTTATAACTTTTTTTAAGTTCTGGTCCCAATCAAATTTTTTGCTTTTCGTGGATTTTAATGATTTTTTGATTTGTTTCGCTTTTCTCATAAATTTACATATTTTGTTAAGTAAGTCATTTCAGTTACCAGTTCGTCAAAAAAATTTTTTGACTCCTTTTGTTTTGTAAAGTAAATTCTTTAGACGATTCCGAGAACCCAGAAATTAAAAATCCATAATCCTATCTCACCGTCAGGAAAGCACGCTTGTTTATGTTTTCTTTAGTAAAATCTCATTCTTTGGGAATTTTTTAGATTTCATTCTTCTCTTCTATTTAATATAAAATTCAGTATTTTTTTAGTTTGTTGCAGCAAATGCTCAATTTTGTTTTGAAAAAATTCGTTCATTAAAAGATGAAAGTTCTAGACAAGGATATACACTGGCAATTGGTTCATTGCACCGTTATATGGGTTCATTAGGTAGTGGACAGCATTTGAATACTGCAATTGAAATTTTGCTGTCGTTGGCTCAAGACACTAATAATTGTTCTTCTGTAAAGGTTTTTTAAAGATTTTTAAGATTATTTTTTAATCAATGTTTGCCCTCATTGTAAGATACATCCATTACTAGGGAGGTACTTGTTTGGTCAATATCACTGATCCTTGGCTGTCAAAGAAACATCGGATACTTTGTACAAAAATTTGGTAATTTTTTGGTTACCCTACAACTCCAGACCCAAACGGTTCAAATTTAACTGGCCATAACTCGGCCTACAGTCATTCTTTTGAAAAATCCGCATAACTTTTCAATAGAAAGTTGATGGTCCTCTATCGATTGGTACCAAAAAAATTACCAAATTTTTGTACACAATATCCGATGTTTCCTTGTGAGTAAAGGGATTTGTTGGGTTGGGAAAAAATTCGAGTCAAGGTTTTGTGTCAGTTTCTTGAAAAATTTTTTCTGATCATTTTCGAGTAACTCGATTGATTTTGACCAACCACAAAGAGCATTAATTTTTTAATTTTTTAATTTTAAGCAATGGGCCATTATTTCGCTGTCACTGATAGCTTCAACTGGAGGTGGAATGTTTTGGTAAAAAAAATTTTTTTTATAAATATTTTTAAATTTTTCTATTATTTTTAGCCCATATGCTGAACCAGTTCGTAATCTTTGTTTCCAATTATTAATGAATACTCAACACTTGTCCAACGAGATTGTTCGTGCTGTTGCTAAACTGGTTTCTTTTTTATTTTTTTTGCTTTTTTGGATGTCAAAAAATTTTTTTTTCTCCACAGATTTTTTCTCTCATAACGGCAGCTGGTCCAGAACTTAATTCAACACCCTCAAGTAATAATGGAAATAATGCAGAATCTGCTCGTAATTCTTTTCTTACAATATGTTCAATGCTTATACAATTTGATGATCCTTTTGTTAAAGCCGATGCTACAGCTTGTTATCAACATTTACATTTATTTGTTCCTCGATTTTTGGATATTTCTCAGTTGGTGTTGACTATTTGTGTTTGTTTTTTATTTTATAATATTAATTTGGATTAGGGTTGGGCACTTACCCAAACTTTTTTTTGGCTTAATCCTTGTGTTGTTAGCATGCCAATCGATCTCGAACCTCGGGTTGGAATTCTCATTAGACACACTTTTTAATCCCGGCAGAACCTGATTCCTGAATTTTATTCCTTAATTTCTGAATCACTCATGGTCTCCTAATTTTAAATTGAATTTTGCACAAAACCTAATTGATTTAAATAAATTTGACTAATCATGGGTCATGTACCCATCGGATCCCTTCGTTTTCTTACCAATAACCAACTTCTATTTTCAATTTTAATGCAGGAATTTCTACACAGTCCAACATTTATTTTACGAAAATCAGCAATTGTATGTCTTCGCCAATTGCTTCAACGCGAATCTCACGAAGTACGCGAGCATGTTAAACCTTTAATACCTTCATCTGGTTTATTTGTTGAAAATGATTTGGATGGTGGAAGAAAATCTGCGAAAATTTCTGACAGAGTTTTTGTCCTACCAGAATGTGGACTAGAAGGAGCCCTTTTTCAAATGATGGATACAGAAACTGATTTTGAATTGCGTGAACATATAAAGGTTTTTTTTGAAATATATGAGGGCAAGGGCGTAGCTGGGGGGGGGCTTCCTAATGACCTCCAAATTTCAAAAAATTTTCGTCTTCGGCACTAAAAAGGGAAAAAAATTTGTGGCGGCGCTGAAAAATAAAAATAAGTGTACAATAAAATTTGCGTTCAAAATGTCAGCGCACCCCATTTTAGCCCTCCCCCTGAAATCACCCCCTGGTTACGCCCTTGTATGGAGACTTTAAAATTAATTTTTTATGTATTTAAGCAATCTCTTCTCTTTTTACTACAAACATCATGTAACGAACTTCTTGGATTTTGGTTACTTCTTTGTAAAGACATTTTGGGCAGTTCCCAGTTGAGTCAAGATAATATTCGAAGCACAATTTGTGTGACTGTTGATGATGGAAAAGAGGAAAATGAGGTTTTTTTATTGTTTTTTATATGTTAGGGGGGAAGAACATTGACCCGTTGCTTCTTAATTGTTAGGATAAATCCAAGACCTCAGTTTAAGATGGTTTTCTTAATTGGTTGGTCTTTGGGTGTGAAGAACTGCCTAACATAAGCTATTTGCATAAGCTACAATTGTACGATTAAGAGGGATTATCTTTAATGAAGTTTGGCAGTATTTCAGTTAAATTTTTTGTTTGATCATATGTTAGTCAGTTTAAACCTGAGATTGTCCAGCTACTCGGAAACACTGATCAATTCGAGACCCGATCCGAAGAATTTTTTTTGAAACCCTGGATTTTTTTCGTTCAACTCTAATTTTTTTCTTACTTTTTACTTATTTTAAATCTTTAAGGATGATGACGATGACAATTTACATGGAAGTACACCTTCAAATACCAAAATTGGAGGCACAGAAATATTAATTCAACCTCGTTGGCCAACTCGTTGTTTTGCTTTTGAAATTGTTCAACGCCTTTTGGGTGTTTGTGACACAGACAAGGCCCATTTGGATTTGGCACTAGCAAAAGAATTGAAACAGATGGATATTGAAGACGGAGAATCGAATACAAATAAAAAAGCTGGAGATTACCTAGTTTTGCATCTTTCTGATCTTGTTCGAATGGGATTTATGGGTATATATCAAATTTTAAGCACAATTGGATACCCCTTGGACTCGGAAATTTTATCTCCTAATGTTTCACTTATGTTCGAGGGTATCATTTGGACGGCTCTCCCCAGCTGGAATCCCCCCCCCCCCAATCGGGAAAATGAAAAAATTTGGTTAAGTGATCGGGCAAAAAGTGAATTTTTTGCCCTATGGCTTTCTAAAATTCTAAAAATTTTCGTCTTGGCACTAAAACTCAAAATTTTTGGTGCCTAAAATTTGCAGAAAAATTTCTCTTTGGCTTCCCTCGAAAAAATTCTGGCTACGGGCCTGGCTATCCCTTCTTGTTTTATATAGCCTTGGGTATGTGATTCAATGTATTTTTTATTTTTATTTTTTCAATTTTTAGGTGCAACTAGTGAGAATTTTCATTTGCAAATGGCTGGATTAAATTGTCTACAAAGCATAATTAGTAAATTTTCCAAAGTAGCTGAGCCAGAATTTCCCGGACATTTATTACTTGAACAATTCCAAGCTCAGGTAAATTTTGCAATGCATACTTATTTAAATCGAGCCGGGCTTTAATTTAAATTTAATTTTGTCAGATTGGAGCAGCACTTCGTCCCGCCTTTTCTCCCGAAACTCCCCCAAATGTTACTGCTTTTGCCTGTCAAGTAGCGGGTACTTGGCTATGTTCTGGTGTTGCTAGAGATTTGAATGATTTGAGACGTGTTCATCAATTATTAGCATCTTCTTTAGATAAATTGCCTAAAAGCAAGTCGTCAGATGTTGAAAAGCTTGAGCAAGATAATTCTTTGGTAAATTTTTGCTAGATTTATTAACACGAAATATTAATTAGTTTCGATATAGAATACGCTTTGAGGTTTGATGGGTCAGACCAGAGGTGGGTCGGAACAGTCCGAGGTGTCGGAAATCGGAAATCAAAATTTTTTTTCGGAAATCGGAAGGAAAAAACGTCGGAAATCGGAATTCCGAGCCACCTCTGTCTGGTTCAGACGGACGAAGATTTATGCGATACCCTCTATTTAAGATACAACTATAAGATAGAGCCAGACATGGCTTGTAGTTACTCGGAGCTGAATTGATCATATCTTATGATGAGATGTATCTTAAATAGAGGGTATTGCTTTTGTCAGATCCTTCACCCAATGGGCAATCAAATTTAATTGATGAGTTTTAAATCGAGGTGGATGTTGGGTTCATCAAAAAAATTCGGTCAACTGTATCATGGGATGGGTTTTCTTCCACATCTTCCACTAAATTTCCTTTTTTTTATCTTTACGATTCCTCTCGTTTTTAATTTTGTTCCGCCTTCTTTTGTGTCTAGATATTTTTGAGGAATTTTATTTTTAGTCATCAACTCCTCCAGCATCTATGCAACTTTACAATGAGAGTATTGCAACTTTGGAACAATTATCAATTCTTCGTGCTTGGGCTAAAGTATATATTTGTGCTATTGAACAATGGAAGAAGCAGACAACATCAAAAGAAGAATCCTCAAATACAAATAATTCTCTTTTAGTTTTGGTAGAGCCTTCTTTAAATATTTTAATAAAACATTGGTTTGCTGTTCTTCGAGATTTTTCAATTCTTTCATTACCTCAAAATATTTTGGACGATTTGAAGGAATCTGGATTTGATGGAGGAGGAACTTTTTTCACAGCAGATAGCATTGAGGTGAGGAAAAATTATTAGAGTTTCGGAATTTTGGTTATTTGAAAGTAGGCTACTAGGGTTCTTGGTGACCGGTCAGTTACCGGTTTTCGGTTCGGTTAAACGACCCCCAACAACTCTTTTGGTCATTCATGTTCGATTTGAATTTTGACAAAACATTTAGGTAATTTTAAGATGAAGAGAATGCAGTCGTACCCCGCTTATATTTAGTTAATGTGTGACTCGCGCAAGTAGAGTCCGACTGTACTTTTTAATACCGAGGATGTTTTTTAAGGGAGCTTCGACTGTGAACTTTTTTGTGATTAGACAATAATCTAATTCCATTAACAAAATTCCAGTTACCTAAGAATGCTTTACAACACAAATATACCTAATTTATTTTTCAGTGTTGCAAAGAGCATTATTACACTTCTTGGCCATTAATTTTACTGGCTTGTTCAGTATGGATGCGTTATGGGCAAAATCCTCAAAATCCTAAAGATTATGCAATTAAAGAAAAGTCTAATTTTCATTTAATTCTTGGAATTTGTATGGATTTTTTGTCAAATAATTCTAAAAGGGAAGATGAAAGACCTATTCAACTTTGTCTTTCTTCTATAGAAAATTTATTGGAATGTGAAAAATTACAGTTAGAATTGATGTCTGATGTTAGAATGCCTATTGAGGTAAAAAATATTCTTTGAATCACTTTCTATTTTTCTTTTTTTTAGCTTTTGAATCTGCTTTACAAGTAGGTTTTTATCATTTTTGATGGATTTTTTTAAATTTTACTAAGTTTAATGTTCCTTAGCATTCTCCCAAAATTTTCCTAACATTCCTAGATAGGTCGGGTTTGGAAAAAGGTCGAGAATGGTTTGAAATTTTTTTCAGATCGGAGGGATTTTCTGGATACACCTCCCTCTACTTAGTTTAAGTAGCGGTTTTTCCGTAGTGTTACACTTGGGGATGGAATTTAGGACCGTGTTTGAGTTTTAGTTTAAAAATAGAAACGATATTTAAAAAAATAATATTGAGGGATTAAATGGATATCTAGTGATCAAGGTGATATGGAGGGATCATTTGGTATTGATGGATATCAGTTGATTAGGTGGAATATAGATTAAGTGGGAGCTATAGATCATGGCTGTCTGCTTCAATAGGGGTAGGTAGCCTGGTTGATTTCTGACCCTCTTAAGCCACTATATCACTTTAATCCCATCCCTCGATATATTCGAAACGCCTAACAGTAATTGCTATTGGGCTTCTGGCTAAAATTTTATTCAATTTTTTATTATCAGATTAATCCTAACTTTGGACAGTATGCAAACACAACAACTTTTAGTTAAAATAATTTTAGCAATTTTAAAATCAGCAAAACTTGTATTAGAATTAAATAAAAATGAGGAAGATAAAGAAGAAAATCATAGAAATAATAATAGAGTGCTCGAAAATGGACACCTTTTAACTCCAAACAATTCTTTCAAGGGTGGCGAAGGAGTTGGGGGAATTTTTGATCCATCAAATTCTTTAGTTTTTGCGTTGCTTGAGTCAATTATGTGTATACTTGCTCGACAGGTAAACTTGAATTATAATTGAATTTTCTAGATAATTTCTTTTAGATTCCTCAAGTTAATTTACCTCAAGCGAAAGTTCGCATCTTGACACCCTTGCAAACAAGAAAGTGTGGACATCTTTCTACTGAAAGTGTAATTATTAATCCTTTTTAGGGCTTTTGGGGTCTCTTCGGTTCTTTTTCGGGTAATTATTCGAGGGAAGATAATTAGTAGGGTTTCACCGGAACTGAATTTATGACCGGAACCGAAATTTTTGATGGGAACCGGATCCAATTTTGACCGGAATCGGATCCAATTTGAGTTCCGGAATCGTAGCCTGAACTTTTTCTTGGTTATGATCCGGAACCGGAAACTTCCGGCGAAACTCTTAGTATCCGTTTTTATGTAATAAGATGTATGGGATGTATCTTGAACCGAAAAGGCCTCTTCTAGCCTTGTTTCTTCGTCCTTTATCTTTAAAATAAAATTTTTTCTTTAAAGGATGAATTAATTCATTCTACAGTGGATTTACTTCCTCAATTGACTTCTTTTTGTTGTACAGATGGTTTAATGGTTATTTTACCTTCACTACTTAATTTATTGTTTGGCATTCTTCGAGAATGTTCTTCTCAAGAAGATGATAATCAACAACAATCCAAAGCTATTAGTTCTGCTATTTTGGTGAATAAATTAATTTTTCATTTTCATACGCTAGACCTTATTATAAGATACTCTATTGAGACTGAAAAAGCATAACTTATAATGAGATTTTTCTTAAATAGAGGGTAGAGCTGTCCGAGACTGAAAATTTTCCAAGACTAAACTCCAAGACTAGACTCCAAGACAAGACCAAAAATTAACAAGACTCGAATAATTTTTGGTCTCTAAAGCAAATTTTTTGCTTATTTTCATACCTTAGCCTCGAGGTCCTCCTCGCTATGGCCCTGCTCTAGAAACCAACTTTAAAAACCTTACCCTGAATTTGAGGTTATCTGTTTCATTGTACTTTTATAGGGAGATCTGACTTTAAAATCTATTTAAAAAAATTTTTTTTTGTTCATTACCAGGCATTAAAGAAACTTTGTTCTGAATGCCCTCATCCAACAAAAGAACAAAAATTATTTGAAGCATGGGAATCGGTTAGAATAATTTTTTAAAATGTTTGTTAAATTTAATTTTTTAGATAATTCGAAGTGGCCTTCTTTCTCTGCTTAATTTTGCTAATGGTAAAAGTTTTGAGAATTATTATCAAATTAAGGAATGGGGAGGATGAGAGAATAGGAGATCTGAAAATTCTCATTTAAATAATAGTCGGTCCAAAAAGGACCTACAATCGCCAAAAACTGATTGAAAATGACTGGGGAAGACTTGAATCCTGATCACTTTCCCAAATCCATATATAGTACAATAAAAATTTCAGAATCACATCAATCTGGCAATAAAGAACAACAATTAACCTTACTATTATCCGCTGCCGTTATTTTGTCTTCTGCTTCTACAGCAAAGCCAAAAATAATTAAAAATGGGGAGGAAGAAGAACTATCAACAAAAAAATTTTGTGTTGATCAAGATTTGTTTGAAAAATTTTGTTTGGCGCAAAGAGAAGCCCTCATTAAAAGTGATGAAGAAGAAAATAAAGGAGAAGAAAAACAACGCATAATAATTTTGAAAAGATTTATTCTAAATTTATGTCAACAAATTAGTGTTGGCAAAACAGACACTTGAAAATATGTGTAGAAATATTCGGCTCTATTACACAATATACGTCCAATTAAATATTATGCGTCCAATCAACTTTTATACGTCCAATCAAATTTTATACGTCCAATGAAAGTTTATGCGTCCAATAAAAAGTTTATGCGTCCAATGAACATTTATGCGTATAATAAAACATGCTAATGCGTATAATAAACCCACTAATAGAACATGCCTTCTATTTTTTAAATTTATAAACGCTAAAATTTTATACGTTACGTCGAATTTTCGAAATTTATGGATTGAATGCAACAAATCTTCACAGAAAATTAAAAACCTTTAATAGACGAGACTAACAAATTAATTAATGATTTTCTCGAATTCAATCTTAATTAAAATGTTTTAGTTTAAAAGTATTAAATTGTAAATGTAATTTATTAATTAAAAAATATAAAATATTATATTTTTATAATAATAGATATATGTATTTATGAAAATCCTTGTTATTAAATAGAATAATATTAGAAATAAATATTTCTTAAATGAATGATTATTCATATAAATAAACTTAAAATGTATTATGCAATAAGGGTGGAGTAAAAAATTAAGGGTGTGATAAAACATTTTTTGGGAATTTTCTAGTCTATTAATTAACAGATTTTTCAACCTACTAATAGAACATGCCTTCTATTTTTTAAATTTATAAACGCTAAAATTACGATACGTTACGTCGAATTTTCGAAATTTATTAATTGAATGCAATTATATAAACAAAATAATTTAATTTCTAAGTATTAAATTTATTTTTAAACTATCCTGTTATTGAATTCTTCTTTTAAACATAATGGTTGAGTTTTCTGTCGTTACTTTAAATGAAAATAATGTTATAAATAAAGAGGAAAATGATAACATTCAACAACAAGTACTTGTGTGCAACAATTTTGACTCATCAACTTCTACCATTGTTGACTTGAACTCTTGTTGCCCATCCCTGACAGAGGTCTCGAGAAACTTATAATCAGTGCTTCGAAATTTCAAATTTGCTCGTACTCGTACTCGTACTTCGTACCACCTCTTTTTTTGGCCTCGTACTCGTACTCGTACCTCGTACCACCTTCATTTTTTTGCTCGTACTCGTACTCGTACCTCGTACCACCCCTATTTTTGGCCTCGTACCTCGTACTCGTACCTCGTACTTACTCGTACTTAAGAAAAAAGCAAAAAATCGAAAATTTTTATGATTTTTTGAAGCCCGGGCATCTATTTTTAAATTTTAAGCGTTGTATGCGATAGTTTTTGAATCTTGGAAGGCTTTGAAGCCATAAATCCTCCGATTTCATCCATTTTCTGCGCCTCAAGCGAAGGTTTTGAGCATTTTGGAGTCCAATTAGCTATTCATTTTGAAGACCAATTAGCTATTCATCCTTTTTTCATTCTCTTCCATGGAACGCTATTCATTTTTCAACATTCTTTCTCACAGTTTTATCTTCTGATATCCCTCTTAATCTCTATTCCCTTTCTGTGCCGCAGGCAAAAATTTTGAGAATTTTGAATGTTCTTAAGTAAGATTTCTTTCATTTTTCAGCGCCGCAGGCGAAAATTTTGAGAATTTTGAGGTCCTTAAGCCAGATTTTTTCCATTTTTCAGTGCCGCAGGCAAAAATTTTGAAAATTTCAGAAGGCCGTAGGCGAAAAAAATCACTTTTTAGTGTTCAAAGTAAAATATTTTAAGAATTTTAGAGTTTCAAGATCTCATAATTACTCCATGTAAAAAAAGAATAATTTTTAAAACAAAATTAAAATTATTAAATAAGTTATTTATGAAAAAAAATATTAAAATTCTTTTTTAGCGAACAGGAATCGAACCCAATATTAAATCATTAGAGACTTTGGTGCAGCCACGCACCTTCTCCACTCGGCCACCCGCTCATATAATAGAGAATGAAAGGAATTAAATATATTTCTTTAATTTTCCTATTAACACCAAGTACGAGAAGTACGAGCTCGTACTTAGGCCTCGTACCTCGTACTTTTCACTTTTTTTGGCCTCGTACTCGTACTTCGTACCTGCTCCATTTTTTTGCTCGTACTCGTACTCGTACTTCGTACCAGGTACGAGTACGAGTACGAGGTACGAGTACGAATTTTGGTACGAGCTTCGAAGCACTGCTTATAATAATACACGACAGTATTAGGAGATACTATGTTAGTTTCGGCTTAAACGGTAGTGAGTTTACTTGCTGGGTTGTTAGACCAGTAATAAGCGACACACATTAAATTTGTTTCCTAAATTATGTATTTTTAAATGAATCTCTGTTAGCCCTTGAGCAAGCTCTTGAGCAAGAATTCATTATTTACTGGACGTATAAAATTTATTTGGACGCATAAACTTTGATTGGACGTATAAATATTTGATTTGACGCATAATAGTTGATTGGACGTATATTGTATAATAGAGCCAAAAATTCCATATAGGGCTTCTGATTGTTATTTTTTAATGTTGTATTTATGAATGACTCTTATAAAGATAATTCTTTAAAGTATAAATCGGTCGAGACATTACGATCAAAAATCTCGGTTATCGAGATCTCGATTCTCGTACGACACTCTCAGTTTTATATTATTGAATGATTACATATTTTTTCAAAAGTTATTTGGCTATTGTTAAGAAAAAAACGAAATCGAGGATAAAAATATACCGATACTAGAGTTTCACCGGAAATTCCGGTTCCGGAAAGTTCCGGCTCCGGTTTACAAATCGGTTCCGGTGAAACACTAATCGATACTATCATCTCAAATTTTTTAATTATGGGTTCAGTTCTCACAGAATAACGGTAGCACCTATCGATATGTATAAACAAAGTAAAGCTTGAAAGTGTGGAATAAATTTTATAAATGTTAGGGTAGAAGCAGGCCGAGCCCAATTTAACGCATAGCAATAACTTCGTTCAAAATTATTCGATCTGTGACTTCCTGGTATTGTTGGATGCGTCTCGACGAGCTGAATTTAACAATGTCAAGGCGTCTTAAATTCGATAATTTTGAAAGTTAAAGCTCGGGGGTACATTGGGCACGATTAACGTTGGGGGTGTTGCAATTTTTGATGTTTTGGGGTTTGCCTTTATATTTTTTCGCTCAGTACTTTTTAGCTTTTTCAATAATTCCATATTTCTTCATTTATTCGATTCCTTTGTTTTTCATTCTATTTTGTTTTTGATAGCAATTTCTACATATATACTTGTCTGGTTCTGAATGTCGGTACCATTGCCTTGTTTGTATTACACCACATGTATGACAATGACGACCGTGCTAAAGTAAAATTAAATACAGGCAGATACTCAAATCTCTCCACTAAGACATCCCTTCCCAATTCTTATTCCTTATATGTAGGTCACGCAAATATTCTTCTGTTTTCGGAAGAATTCCAAAAACAGAAGTCTATGTCTCGGACCAAATTATATCGTATTTTTTCGATTAATTCCCCTGGGGAATTATTTTTTCAATCCTTCTTTGGCATGGGGAATTAATCGAGGGAGGGGAATTATTTGAGTTTTGGCATTTGAACGTGCAGTAGGGTATTTGGAGGTGGGGGATTGTTTCAACCCAACTCTAGCATGGGGAATTATTCGAGGGAGGGGAATTAATCGAGAAAATACGGTAGTAGACATATGTAGCGACCGTTTACTTATTTAAAATTATTATTTTAAATAATTTTAACCTTTTGTGAGTTATACCACAATTTCTTCGGTCTAAGTTTTCCAGTGTCTCGTTTATACATGTTACATGGGGTGCACAAAAAATTTTGTTTCAAATAGGTATTCCACTGAATAGATTTTGTTTCTCCACAATTAAAGCAATTTCGTTTATTTCCTTCGTTAATTTTACCTATAATAATTTAAGAATAAGGTCTTCAGATTCTGTAACGAAGTGAGGAATCAAAGTTTTTAGGTTCGGTTTTGGATATTCAAACATTCTTACGAGAGGTGAAGCATATGAGGGTCAATAGAAAATATTTTGGGTAGCAGCTGGGCTATAGTAGCTATTTCTCTGCTTTAGCTAGTGCAAAAAGTTAATAGACGGCTGGTGTGAACCAGCATCTTCAGTAGACCGGATTGATGTGTTAGCCATTACACCACGCCGCCTACTGCACAGCCTTAGGAATTAAATAGCTAAATGCATGGATATACTTTAGCCGGTGGCCCACTCAGAAACCCTTCGATATGTATACCATTCGATTCGTCTCGGCGAGCTGAGTCGAATGGTACCATTCTTTTTTTGCGGAAATGCCTACAAGCCGAGATATAGGTCCCTGAAAATCGAAAAACCATAGGGGGGAGTAAGCTGAATTTTGGGGTGAAAAATTCGATTTTTTGAATGATAGCTCATTCGAAAGAGCTCCTCGAGCTGAGTCGAATGACACCAAAATCAACGAAATCCGACTTGAATGGACCGAGATATAGACCCCTAAAAATCGAAGATCCAAAGGGGCGATTATTGGAATTAAAATTTTTTAACCTTATTATAGCTCT